TCTACCCAGAGTTTTGCTATAAGAAAACTACAGCACATATCAATTCGGTATTTAATCTCCTTCGAAGTAATCTCCCTTCTGAAGACACTCACGTTATACAGTGTCTTTTACATTGATAGAAGCATTCCTGAAACTCCTTTGGGGGTGGGCATTGCGAGCAGGTACCTCGTCGCATTCCCTTGTATTTCCCCTACCTCTTTTGTTCCTTTTAGATTTCAAGGTTAATTTGTGCCAAGCGACTTCGCTCTGCGTGTTCTAGCTCCGTTACTATAGCAACAGTCCCAATACGTTTTGATGAGACCCCGTTCACGCGTTTTGACTGAATTTAAAATAAGATTTTGAAATAATACATTTCTCCCCGGTACATTCTGGACCACCATTGCTATGAGCTGAGCAATAAAACTATGACGATAGTCACAAGAGAAAAAAAAAAATTTAACTAAAAATTCGATAAGATTTTATTGAACTTTTCAGAAATTGTTCAGTCATAAACAGAATCATATCTTAAAGTTTTTTGTTTTTTTTAATTTGTAAAAATATTTTAGGCTTTCTATTGAATAAAAATAAACATGAGCATATTCAGACATACATACTTTGAATTAAATTGAAATGGATATATATGTTACGAGGGCTAGTTTCCTTTTATATCTGAAAACAACCCCTGGGTAACAGGAAAAAGATTATAAGCCTGCTTTTGAAGTTATTTTTATGATTCTTCTGTATTTAAACTGAATATATTTTTTAATATATGTCGTATTTTGAATGGGAAAACAATTTAAATTTGAAATTTGGTCATCTTGACGTCAGCAAATCCACTGGTACAGAAACAGCAAATATCGAAAATTAAAAAAAATGTGTTTTATTTAATAAACCGAACTACTCTTTCATGTTTTCCAAAATATATTTATAAAGCTAATTCTAGACTGATAGATGGACACAGTGGGGTAGGAGACCCATGACAATCGAACTCCCTATTGGATCGTATCCATTCTTCATAATCTATTCTTCATTTCTAGTTTTGTGGCAGCCAGAAGATATCTTTCTCAATCAAATCCAGAATAGAAAATTAGAAGAAAAAAAAACAAAAAAAACAAATATGTAGCGGATATTCTCAGATGATTCATTCGATTATTCAGATGATATTACCCAAATGTTCTCAATCACTTCAAAACCGGTTTTGTTCAAAGTAGCGCGTAGAATCGATTTAGCAATAGGCAAAGCAAATCCTACGTGAAAAGCAGATGATTAACGGACAAGAATTGTGAAGACGTAATCGAGCGTATTTTGCATTTCATTCTATCAACTTAAGATGGAGTTTGTGAGTGTACGCCAGATTTAAACTGCCGTTTACGTCATTCAATAATAATATCTTTGGTTGACTCTTTAAGATCTTCGATATGTGATGTTGGATACCGAATAAAAGCTGTAGTATTTTTCTCATTTATTTTTTGACGCTCTAAGTCTCCGCGTATCACATTAGGTATTTGTTAGAGCAAATCAACCGTAACTCAAGAATAAATTTTTCCGGATCCCTGACGATTTCAATATTTAGTGATTTATATGTTTTGCAGATTGATGTGATCAAAAAGTATCGGGACTGTTGCTATGATAACTGAACTAAAGTGCGCAAAATGAAGCCGCTTGTTACAGATTGATGTTGTTGCTTATTCCCGTTGTTTATAGCAGTGCTTGGAAGGAAAGTGTGTAGAGTGTGTAGAGTGTGTAGAGTGTAGTCTTCTTACTTCACCACACCACTGATGTTCCATCAGTGACCATGGCTTGTGCAGCAGATTTTGACCAAGCACAAAATTCCGACAACCACTATATTCCCCAGATCTCACCCTGGCCAGGTTTTGCTTTTCGGAAATCAAATGCCACCAAAAGGAACATGATTTCAAGACGTCGTGAAAATCCAAGAGAATGCGACGAGGCTCTATTTGCTATACTCAGAAACGAGTTCCAGGAATGCTTCCATCAATGCAAACAACGCTGTATAAAGTATGTAGCTTCAGAAGAGGATTACTTCGAAGGAGTTTAAATGCGGAATTGATATGTGTTGTAGTTTACTTTTTATAGCACCAGTCCCGATACTTGAGGATCGGACCTCCTACATACACACACACACACACAAACGCACGCACACGCACACACAGACACACACACATATATATATTTATATATATTTATATATGTGTGTGTGTGCGTGTGTACGTATGTGTGTATATACATACACACATATATATATATGTTTGTGTGTGTGCGTATGTACGGATGTGTGTGTATACGCACACACACATATATATGTTTGTGTGTGTGCGTGTACGTATGTGTGTATTTACACACACATATATACCGTATCTAGAGTTACAGGAATGTCTTACTTTCCAAATACGGTCAGCGCATTGTGGCGTGTTCATAGTAAATGCTATACACACTTACGCGCAAATACACTTGGGAAAATACACATCTTTTTCTCCCCAGGTAAAACTCTTACAATCTAAAAATATTTCTAGCTTTAAATAACCTGCAAAAGGTCGATAAGCCGTAAAAAACAAATCCATCAATCAGTTAGTACCACTCTAACTCATTGTTGTTGTTCATTACAATCTTAAAACAGTCCCGAAACCAAGGAAAGAAAAAAAAGACTGGGAAATATTTTGTTATGATGCTATATTTTTTTCATTATGGGTATTTAATCAGACAGCAAAAATAGAAAAAGTTATAAATAGTAACGTAAATGTTGAAAAAGAAAAAAAATTCCTATTATCTTGTGTTATGGTGATATAAACCACTTCAAAGTGCATAAAACACACCGCCATTTTTCTTTTATCAAATCTCTCGTAGTCACTCTCTAAAGGCAAAAATAACTAGATTAGATTATTGTCTACACAACTGTCTTTCTTGTTTTTTTTTTATTCTCCCTCAAACATTCCCTCGCCGCCTACGTAATGCGATGTTTAGCCAACTAGTTTCGAAAACAATTTATTCGTGAGTTCAATCCTACAATAGCTTTATGCCGTACTCAGCTAAGTTTTTTCAAATATCACAGGGTCAAATGAGAAAATAAAAATTTGGGAGCTTTTTAAAAAAATTTTTTATATCATCTGCTTTGAAAATCAACACTTGAAATCCTGGTTATTTCATACTTGAATTCGAACACCTAACTCGGCTGATATTACTTGCTAAGCTTATTTTAGTATAAAACTAGGGTACAAATGCAGTGTAACCAGTGAGAATCGAAGTCACTAACGTAGTTGTCTGAGAAACTGACTTGTTAAGTATTCCTCTACGGCAGGGTTGTAAGTACCAGTTTAGGGGCTTTAGACAGATTGGTCAAAGAGTCCATCTATCACGCGTTACCCATATCTCATCAGGTATTTCACGCATCTCTTGAAATCCCTTTACGAGGAAATAAAAAAATATTTTTCTGTCAATTTCTTTTTTTATTGTTAAGGAAGCCATTTTCGTACTTGAATTTCCATTAACCTTAAGGCTACACTTCATCGTTTAACGATATTTTCTATAAATTAAGTTTTAAGGTTCAGGTATAGGTTGTTTTTGTTTTTTTGTTTTAACAGAGAAAGATATTTACACATTTATCATCAATTCCGTTTTGGTCAAAATGTTCCTAATTGTATTTGTTTGATATTAGCTTAGAACTAAAGTTTTTGAAGGCGTTCTCCGTTGTTTTTTTGTTTTTTAATTATTTATTTATTTACTCAACCTCCCACGAGGTCAGGTTGTAACACAAGGTCGGTTTAATGTGGGGAGCCCGAGCGTGTACTCCCGGGCTAGGAACAAAAATTGCCCGACCCCCGACAACCGCCGTTTGCGCTAGCCTCGATGCGAGCACCGATCCCTCTCTCTGTTGCATTGAGAAAGTGTCCATCTATTACACGTTACCCATATCTCATCAGACATTTCACGCATCTCTTCAAATCACTTTACTAGAAAAGAAAAAAAAAATTTCTGTCAATTTCTTTTTTTATTGTTAAGGAAGCCATTTTCGTACTTGAACTTCCATTAACCTTAAGGCTACACTTCATCGTTTAACGATATATTCTGTAAATTAAGTTTTAAGATTCAGATATAGGTTGTTTTTTGTTGTTTGTTTCTTTGTTTTAACCGAGGAAGATATTCACACATTTATCATCAATTCCGTTTTGGTCAAACTGTTCCCAATTGTATTTGTTTGATTTTAGCTTAAAATGAAAGTTTTTGAAGGTATTCTCTTTTTTTTTTTGTTTTTGTTTTTTGTTTTGTTTTTTTTTGTTTGTTTATTTTTTTAATTACTTATTTATTTACTCAACCTCCCACGAGGTCAGGTTGTAACACAAGGTCGGTTGAATGTGGGGAGCCCGAACGTGTACACCCGGGCTAGGAACAAAAATTGCCCGACCCCCGACAACCGCCGGTTGCGCTAGCCTCGATGCGAGCACCGATCCCTCTCTCTGGTGCAATGAGAAAGCGCAGCATTGGTCAGCAATTCCCCAGTGGTAGGCATCTCTCAGTATAATTTTCCTCAATTGCGACTCTGTCCTTCGTCGCCCCTGAGCTCACTCTGCCTAAAGACAAAGACGCAATTGAGAGATGATAAATAGTGTTTTATAAACTAATCGAGAGCAATTTACACTCTAAAAAAAGAAGGGCGCTGTCTGTTTAGGACAAAATTTCGAACAATATTTTCTTTGTATTACTTTATTTATCCTATAAGATATGCAAATATCACATCCATATTTTACATGGTTCTTATTTGTACAACTAAACACTTTTATATCATCCCGAACCCACATGTATATAGTTCTAGCCTCTTTGTCCTCGAGTCCATAGCACCAATGCTGTGAAATAGTTGACTACTTTTATTTATTTCCCTTTATCATATGCGTGTCATATAAGCCTATGAATACGTTATAACTTATAAAAGGCAAGTAACGATTTAAGTCTTTATATCCATTTCTTTTGTGCTTCTTTCCTAAATGTTATAGATCTTACGACCATCATGTTGAAACACCGGTTCTCTAACGATCACTGAAGTTAAGCAGCGTCGAGCCTGGTCAGTACCTATATGGGTGACCACTCAGGAATACCAGCTGCTGTAAACTTGGATGTGTATGGAATGCAATGCCTAAAGGCTCGGAATTGGTAACCATAGTACCGAATACCATTTCCACTCGAGTTCTTTATATTACCTTACGCGCAAATAGCCTTGGGAAAGGTATTGAATCCACCTCTTCTCTCCCCTACTATGGGTTAATTAGTAGGACTTGTATCAGAAAATCATTATTATCCCCCCAAACTATTACAATCTAAAACCTTCAGGTGGTTGATGGGCCGTGAAACATAGATCAATCAAATTAAATGTTATAAAAGTTCAGAATAACAAGTAATTTTGAAAATTTCTGTCGGCTTCTGTATACTTTCTGCTAGTATTTTCAGGCTCTGTATTAAGATTTAATTAAAACCCAAATTAATTTTAGAAATTTTCAGAGATCTTGAAATACCATTAAAATCTTACAAGTTTACTATGTATTTCAAACAAGTTATTGACATTTACTAATGCTTATAGCTTCTTCAAATATGTTTTTTTAATAAAATATATCGTCGGCTTTATCTCATACCCAAGAAGATAATTTCTTTGGCTGGTCGCTTCTTTTCTCATGATAACGTTGATGACTAAGTAGATCTAATTCTTTTATGGAAGAGTCAATTGTATTGATTGTATGGTAATGTTGGTGGAGGGTGAAGTTGTTTTTGTCAGCCCTTTTTCTCTTGTTCTTTGACTTACTTTTCTCTTCTGGTGGCTTTGAATTTTTTGGTTCCAATTTTGATGGAACACCGTCTATTGGTGCGGTCTCCGAGTTGTGCTTCAAGCGATTTAGGTACACGACCACTGACAATGTAGTTTTGAGTTGGCACTTGTATCTTCGTAGAGGGCAACCCCGTGGTATTTTCCCTGAAGTTAACTCGCTGAATAAGACTCAACGTAGAAATCTTGACTCTTTCGTTTTTTTCCTGCATGTTTTGACCATTGAAGACGGTGTTTCATGATCAGTAGTTCGATGTTTTAACTGTTGGCTCTTTCCAGGATTTTGTTGTTGGTCACATCGTATTTCCATTATATGATAAATCCAAAAGTAAACTTGTAAAAGGATTATTTAAGGAAGAAACATTAAGTTAAAAATTACTAGTTGCTTTCGGAGATATTTTAGACATGCAGTCAAGAAATATAACCCGAAACATTTTTTTTTATCAGTATCACCCCTTGCAAGGCAGCAAAACCACTAAGACATAAGGGGTTACAGGGTGGGGAAGAATTACGAACAGAAACATTAATAATAAGCTGGAAGAGGAAAGAGTAATCTGGAGGACAGTAGATAGCGATCGGCATTGCATTTAAATTATTGCAGATTAAAGTTGGCTGGAAAGCATGGAGCTAGAAGGGAGTTTCACAAGCAAGAAGTGCGAGAAAAGAAACTGTTTGCATAGAACTTACGTCTGCATCTAGCCAGCTCAATTGTAAATTGGTTAGATCACGACGCCAGTCTAGTACTATGTTTAAATTCAAAAAGTCTAAGTACCATAGCGAAAGCTCATCCGAACAATTACCATGAAATTATTTACAGAAAAGTGGTAACTTTACGGCGGTGGAAAAGTGCATATCTTCTTTGGATCTTATCAAGAAGCTCAAAGTAAATAGCAGGGGCACCGGACCATATGTGGCAGAAATATTCTAAGCATGGACGAATAGTAGACATAGATATGTAAGATAGATTCTGGATAGAAAAATTGTCTCGCACGGCAGAGTGAATTGATTTTCTTAGCAGCTGACCTAGCAATGGATTCAATATAGTCTTTCCACTTCATGTCAGCTGAGAACTTTAGCTCGAAAAGGCGTAACGATTCACTTTCCTTGAGGTTAGCATCAGCCATGAAAAGCGGAGAGGGGTCTTTCGTATGATAAATGTAGAGAAGTTTAGTTTTAGTCATTTTGGGCCCAGTTAGAGACGGACTTGAGTTTGTTTTGGACATCGGCTGCCATTTGACCTCATCGGATTGATCAGGTTTAAAACCTTCTCTGTGATTTGAGCAGAAACTATTGACAGTAATTGAGTTCGATTCTTCAAGCAAATAAGTAGACATCATTTAAATGTTGCTTCCTACTTATTTAGTTTATATTATAATTAACTGCCAATTATTTATCACAAAGCTTAATTATTATTGAAATAATATCTCTCGAAATTGTCACTATGAGGGTGGAGAGTGCAGTGCAAACAAATGAAGAAAACTTCATGTTTCTTTTATTTTCTCACTGTTACGAGCGAGCAGTTAATACATCCGAAGTTAAATACCTAGGATTTGCACTTTTTATACTTAATTATTACTCGAAAACGAATTGAACTGAAATTTGCTTTATTCTCCAAGTTAGAGCATTTTAACGGTATTGTGCTCAGTAGAATTGCACTACGATGTACCGTTTGCGCTATGTTATAGCATCAAGCATACAGAAATAGAATCTTTATATTACAATTAAGGTTTTGTAGAAGCTAATTTCATAAACGTTTTAAACTAGGTTTCCTTACAGTTTTAAACAGTAATGTTGCTCGCAATTTCTCTTTCTTTAATTCAATCCATACAAAGCTCAGATATTTGGGGGTTTTGCCTAATGTTTCATTGTTTTTGGAGAACTTTATCTCTTTTAAAATATGTTTCTAGCTTTTTAGAATGCGATTATCAGCAACATCATTACCATCCTCGTTCTCCTCTCAGATTGTTATGGAGATAAATAATGCAAGAATAATAATATTAAATGCTAAAGACTTTCTCTGTTAATCTGGATATATGTTGTGTTACAATTTCTTTTCTCTTCGTTTCTAGTTCGTAAATTCGTATTTGTTTCGTTGTCGACAATTTCAAGACCGTCTCTCGCATGAAGTTGAATTTAACTGTCGTCGTATTAACGGCTACACTCTTGTTGTCTATATTGTATGGGCATGATCATAACTGCTTAATTGTTGCAATATTTATATGTTCGTTGCGTTCTCGTCACACTTCTGGTAATTTGAACCGTAACTCCTGTATATAATGTTTTGCCCGAAAAACTTGCGTTTCTTACTCCTGTATGTTTAAAATCCCCCCCCCACCGGCTTCTCTTACGTCACTTCTTTCAAATAAGAAATGGTAGATGATGTCACAATTGGAGTGAGAGTATCCTACAGGCTAGTTATTTGATTTTTTGAGTTTTAAGACCAATATTAATTAGTGGTTTTCGATGAAGATCAAGAAAGTTTCCACAATACTCCAGCAAATTCTCCAGTACTCTAGCTAAAACTAGTAACGCTATCATCTCGATTGTTCGTTTTTGTTTTTTTTTATTTCCCAATGTGCTAACTTCTTCGCAAATTTTATCGTGACCCTTCCAACAATACAAATATTGATTAGGCTCAATTACCACCGTCATATTTCACAATTTATGGAGATCACTTGCAGGTTCAGATATTTTCTAGATTTTAATTATTTCTTTCAATTTTACTCTGTGATCAACTGAAACAGTGACATCTAATATCTGACAAATGTTCAACAATCTTCTCTTCTGGCCTAGATTGGTTGATTCGTTTCAAGTCCCTTGAGGGATACAATAATTCTAAATAGTCTCGTCATTAAAACTATTATTCTACTTTATTTTCATTTGATTTTAATGACATCCTATGATATTACATACACGACACAGACAAAATACTACAGAAAAAAAATCTGTTCTTTCTCTTTTAGAGTTATTTTCTTCATCTTATCTCCGTCTTTTTTCACATTGTTTCCCCCTAATTTTTCATTATTCTCATCTAGATCTTAGTACATGTTAAGCTTTGTAGCTAATATGCCTTTATTTTAGAATGAAACCTTATCTTAAACACATACAGGAACATAGAATTATGCCAGGTGTGGATGCATTTAAAATAAATTTTTTTGAAAAAATAAAGTTTTGTGCATCTAACATTTTAATATTGGAAGGTTCCAGCTCTAGTCAAAGTGGCTTTTCTTACAGGAAATTTTTAGATCATTGACTAATTTATTGCTTATTTTATTGCTTCCTTTAGCGTTTATTTTACGCTTATTTTATTGTTTATTTTATCGCCTTTTATCGCTTATTTTATCGCCTTTTATCGCTTATTTTATCGCCTTTTATCGCTTATTTTATCACTTATTTTGTTGCTTATTTTATAATTAATTTTATCGCTTTTTTATTGTTTATTTTATCAATTTTATCGCCCTCTATTGCTTATTTTATCACTTATATTATCGTTTATTTTATCACTTATATTATCGTTTTTATTGTTTATTTTATCACTTATTTTATCGCCATTTCTCGTTTATTTTATCGCCTTTTGTCGCTTATTTTATCGCTTATTAAGTTTAGGTACGTTATTTAATGACACTTATTTTTGCCTTTCTCATGATTTTTAGCGTTTAAGGGCGAGTTTCTTTTAATTTTGTTGTTTTCATTAAAAGTTATATATATATATATATATATATATATATATATGTGTGTGTGTGTGTGTGTGTGTGTTTATATATATGTATATGCGTGTGTGTGTATGTGTGTGTGTATGTATGTATGAGTGTAAAAATTTCAGATAGAATATATCGGTTAAAGGATAATATGAATAAAAGCCAAAAGAAAACTTATCTTAGCCGACGTATTTTCGTTCTCTGAGAAACTTCAAAAATTTAAATACAATGTCAATTGTTAGCTACTGTCTTCTTTTATTGTTCTCGTTTCTTATAATGTTATTCTTATTCTTTCACACTCAGTAAACCCTTGCACCATAGTGGCTTTACTGCCTTGCTCGGGGCGAATTTTTTTTTTTTAATACTTGTTTTAATTTTTAAAATCCTTTTAATTCTTCAAACAAAGTCACTCTGTTTAATTTTTCATTATAATTTCCCCATTTTTTCTTATTTTTATACATCCAAATAAAAACTTCGGCTAAACAGTCCAGTCACCTTTATATTAATATACTTTCTACCATTTCAATCATTAAGAACTGAATGTTGTCAACAAGACAGACAAGATTTTGATAGCTACATCCTAGCATTTTGTGGT